TGTCTTTGGCTGCACAGACGAGCACAGAACACTGTTTAGAGTCCCAGCCTCAGAGAAGACAACAGAGCAGTGGATTTATTGATGTATTTACTGTATTTTGCTGCTGCCACACAGATCAAAAACAAACATGCAATTTATTTCCCAGCAGTTTACCTTCACAGACATAACCCACTGTAACTTTTGTAACTCGTGTGTTTTTAACGTAAACTTGTGTGTGAATGAGAACTTAGTTTAGTACTCGCATGCTGTGACAGCCACTTTCTGTGCGTGTGCTTCGGGTGTGTGCACTCGTATATCAGACGTTTAAACTCATATGGTTTAAAATGCATGATTTCAGCGCGATAAATATGATCATCAGAACCAAAACAGATGTTTTAGCAGGTCCGAGCTGTAATGGGACAGCTCTATTCTGGAAAAGGGGGCGGGAGGACGTACAGTGTAACCGCGATCACCAACTTTCCCAAACAGAGCCTTTCCGTGCGGATCAAAGCGCAGAACGCGTCGACAATCGCGGAAACGCTGCCAGCTCTGACGAGATGAACTTTCACGATGTGGGTGTTGGGAGTTAAACAGCGCTGCTTTGTGAGAAGCGCCTGAAGCGGCTCGTGTTAATGAACCAGACGCGCGTTTGCGCATCTTTGAATACAGCGCCTCGAGACAAACAGCAAACTTATCTCTTTGAAACACAGATTCCTAACAGAGCACGAAAGCGAAGGGCTGATGCTGATGCGAGCTCAATATCCTTCAAAGCCGATGGCAGATTGTCAGAGTCCTCCTGCTCATCCAGACCTGTGTCTATTCTGTCTCTCTTGTCAAACAATTATCACTGTTTTGAAGGATTAGAAGTGCGTTTGGCAGAACTGAAAGACTGTTTGATTCGCAGTTTTACAGTTTTCTGACTCATTCCGCTGCTTTGTAGGGTCAGGTTAAGTTGATTTGTTTGATAAGTTATTGAAGTGTGTGTTCTCGGGGTCAGAGGGGTCAGTGTTTGTTGTTATTTCTGTCTGGGCTCAGTGATGTGGGAGAGTATAGATCTCCTGAGCTCTATATTTCTCTGCAAACAGTCGAGTTTTCAGAAGAACCGGTGTCTGAGACTCAGATGAGACTCAAGGCAGGAGGCCGCTGTCACATTCAGTGCCTCTGTTGAGTTAAACATCACCCTGCCGGCTGAATGCTGGGAAATGCCCTGCAATATGACAGCAAGTCAACTCGAAAATCTGTGAACTTCATTTTTAAATCATAGATGATAGAATCTTTCAATGACAACAAGAGCAATAAACTATAGAAGCTTGTTTCTGCCACACTGAATACACAATACAAAGGCAATTGCGACTTTCTATCTCACAATTCTGAATTGCATGATAAACTTGCAACTGTAAGAAATTGTGAGAATTGTGAGCTTCCACAGAATTGGATTCGCAATTGCAACTCACAAATTTAAAGGTGACATATCATGAAAATCTGACTTTTCCAGGTTTTAAGCGCTATCGGGTCCCCAGTGCATCTACCAACCAAGGAAACGTGAAAAAGGTTAACCCAGTAAGTTTGTTTTGGGAAGCCTTTTTCTGCAAGTGTCTGAGAAAACGAGCGCGTCTGATTTCGCTCCCTTGGTGCCGTGGAAAAGGGATCTCATTATAATATTACCGCCCCTTAATCTGTAAGTTTACACCCACGGCGGCCGTTATTGTGTTTTCGCAAGCGACAACGGTGAACCAGCTCTAACGCCATGGTGAAAGTTTGAGCAAAACACGCTAACTGTTCTGTCTTTGGCTGCACAGACGAGCACAGAACACTGTTTAGAGTCCCAGCCTCAGAGAAGACAACAGAGCAGTGGATTTATTGATGTATTTACTGTATTTTGCTGCTGCCACACAGATCAAAAACAAACATGCAATTTATTTCCCAGCAGTTTACCTTCACAGACATAACCCACTGTAACTTTTGTAACTCGTGTGTTTTTAACGTAAACTTGTGTGTGAATGAGAACTTAGTTTAGTACTCGCATGCTGTGACAGCCACTTTCTGTGCGTGTGCTTCGGGTGTGTGCACTCGTATATCAGACGTTTAAACTCATATGGTTTAAAATGCATGATTTCAGCGCGATAAATATGATCATCAGAACCAAAACAGATGTTTTAGCAGGTCCGAGCTGTAATGGGACAGCTCTATTCTGGAAAAGGGGGCGGGGAGCAGCAGCTCATTTGCATTTAAAGAGACAGGCCTGAAAAACAGCTGTTTCTGCTTCCACTCAAAATAGGCATTTTCAAAATGATGTAATAAATTATCTGTGGAGTATTTTGAGCTGAAACTTCACAGATGCATTCTGGGGACACCAGAGACTTATATTACATGTTGTAAAAAGGGGCATATTATATCTCCTTTAAATCTCACAATTCTGATCAAATCTTTATTTATTTATTTTTTTTCGTGGCAGAAGCAAGCTTCCATAATAAACACACAAATAACAACAAATCAACTTTTTACATTTTTAAAAATATTTTATTTGTTATTATTATAACTTTTTAAAACATATTCTGAAGTGGCGTTTGCCCATACAATATTTGCCTCCACAATAGAGTGCATTAGTGCCTCCTACTTTTTCAGCGGCACTGGTTCTGGGGCCAGATGCATAAACTGCTTAGACTAGTCCTAAAAAGTTAGCCATCTCATTTGTTTTCATGTAGTCTGGTCATAACTGTTTCAAGTCAGTTACAAAAATGTAAATTGGCCCGATTTTAATCAGAAAAGTGAGACTGATTATCTCTTGGCCAACTGATAGATGGTCAAAATATTTCTTAAGACACAGACTTAACATAGTATCTATGTTTATGCAACTGGCCCTTGGAAGCATTTTTTTCTCTCCATTCATTTTTCCATAAGGATTTTAAAAAGTCTTTGTTAAAGCACTATAATGAACCGAGTCAACCAGCTCCAAGGAGAATCACAATAATTGATTTTTATCGGAAGCAAAAAAACGAACAAAAAGACAAATGTATAAGAGTATGTATTTAATGGCTTTAGTGAGGCAAAGAACTACAATCCCATGATGCATTGCGAATTACATTAATCAAATTTAAAAAGATGGAGAAGCAATGGCACATAAAGCCAGACCAAATGATGCCTGCTCTGATCCACCTCAGCCGCTACTATTACAGTTCTTCCATGTTTAATGGTAAATATTTGCAGATGCTGTCTGAATTGGTGAGACAAAAAAGTTGAATCAGTTCATTCTCAGCAATTATTTCCTCTTATGTATTCATTAACACCTACAGAACACAAAAGGGAACTGAAATTTTATACCTAATTTATGTGCGCATCTAGGAATGTGATTAAATTAGGAATCCGCTGAGAAGGTTCTTGTATCACCCGCCGATGCTCCTGATGTGCTAATTGGCTCAAATGGGTCCCAAACCACTTTCATTTTCACTTGCAGATTTACCATTAAACACCTGCGCGGTGTGAGGTGATGCTGAAGGTGTGTGATGTCCTGGGATGCTGTCAGGTTCATGTGTCACGGGTAACAGTCAGTGGGGTTCAAAGAAAAATGGTCCTAAAGTGTATGATGATCGAGCAAATAGATTTCTGTTTTCTATTGTACAGTGTGTGCATGATTATCCTGATAAATAGAAAACCGTGATACATGTCCAAACATCGATGGTACTACAGCGGCAACTTTTAGTCATTTTTTTATTATTGAGGCAATGAACAGAAGTTTAATGTTCATCTGCGATCACTAGGACATTCATATGAACTGGAAAAACCAAGCAAGAAAGCTAGCATGAAACAAAAGAGTGCAGAGTTACATCTATCTCCTCGATGAGGAACATTAAATATTGAAATTGCGAAAGATAAGCTTCCAAGTCAACATTTAAACTTGTAATGAAAATGGAAAATTTAAATAATTAACTAAGCATATAAAAAATTAAGTAAGGGATAATGTCTACACCCAGCCTTATATATATATATATATGCACATTTAAATACTCTTGCTTTATTTCCCACTATATAAAATAAAAAAGTAAAATTTGTTTCTAATATTTGTGTAATATACAAATTATATAAAAATTATTATATAGAAATAATATAGAAATAAATGGTTAATAGATGTGAATATTGTCTAGTACCACGAAATCCCTTAAAAAGACCATTGCCTCTCCAATTTTAAAGAATAAATATTATTTAATGAAAATGCAATACATTAATTTCATTAAGAAAAAAAAAAAAAGTTTACACATTGTTTTTCGATCGGTTTTAAACACCAACAATCACAAGGGTATACCTGAAGGTTACAGAAGCCTCATTTTTGTCGCAATACCCGTGTCTTCTGAAGACAGGGGCTTGATTTAGACCCTGCTAGATGGTTGCTACGGTGCTGCTTTGTTAAGTCAGGTAAAGAAGGCTCATGTGTTGGTTTACCTGAGCTACTTCAGTTCCGATCCGGGCTGCTTCGGCACTCAGGTGTTTCTCCTGTTCCTCCACCTCCGGGTCAGGTTTGGTCCTGAGATGATCCGGCACAATCTCATGGCTGAACACAGGCACCCGCTGCTCTGTTAGTTTCTGTAACAGAAGTAGCAGCATCTTAAAAAGCCAGTGACGCTGTCATGAGCAGAGTGCCTCGGTGAACACACTCACCACCAGCTCTTCATCTCGATCAGGAGACAGCAGCAGGGGGATGATGACCTGGGACCTGTAGGATGGGGTCTTCTCGTTTTTTAACACCTTATTGATGGTGTTCAGCTGCCCGGACAGAAGGGCGAAATTATCCAGCACTGAGGGCCTGAATTCAAAACATATAGTGACAGATCCATTGCGAGTTTATCAGGAAAGATCAGTAGTTCTCACTCACCATGTGAGCCTGTCGTGCTCGTTTTCCAGTTTCAATATAAAACTCTGCAGGGAACCTTTGAGATGAGCCACGCGAGCGTGCAGAGACTCCAGAGACGCCTCCAGCTGCTTCTCCTCCCGCTGCTGTCCAAATACAACACACACACACACATCAGCACACACACACACACATGCACATCAGCGCACACACACCCACACACACACACACACACACACACACACACACACACACACCACCCTCAGCTCGTACATGAGCTAATAAATAACAATAATGCTACATTCCTGCAGTTTAGCATGCCAGCATTCTATACGCAAACACAAAAAAGGTATATTTTCGCAAACTGCATGCACGCGTGATTAGTGATAATAAGTGAGTTTTTAGAAATGTGAAACAGCTGTAAAGTAAAAACATTGAACAATTTACCTGCATTTCAAAGCTACTGTCCAAACGGCACAAGAAAGCGGAAGTAAACAAAACCTCGCAGCAGCAAAAAGAGTCCGGCTTTCAAAACGCGCCCGAGAGAACGGTTCCTAATACATAACGTTAGTTGTAAATAGAATCGCCGCATCATTTTGAGACAAGCATTGTAGTCTGTTTGTTCGAATTTAATTATCAGAAGAAAATGTAGACTAAGATCTCAACTTTTTATATTTCCAGTTGATCTCTGTGCCTAAAAGATGAAGTCCAAAATACTTCTTAGCACATGGGACTAACGTTAAACAAACTCATTAGGAATAATAAATAAATTGGCATTTTAACTTTTCTCTCGAAATGTATTTAACAAGTTAGACTTCCATTAAAAACAATAACATTAGAATTTATGCGAATATACAATTTTCTCAGTGTATTTATAAACGCATGTGAGGGCTTTTATTTTGAATTCTCGAACAGGAAGTGAAGCGGCTGCAGTCACAGGAACTGCAGTTCTCAGATGTTGACACACAAAGCCTCTAAAACTCGCTCAAAATCAACCTGCCAGTAATGAGAAGCACGGCATGGCAGACAGACAGGACACTGAGGTAAACTAAACTCTTGTTTGGACCGAGTTTCTTTCTTTTATTCAGTTCCTTCGGAATTGTTTACTGCTTAAGTAGCAGAGCAAATAAACAGAACAGGAGAAAACGCGTTGATTTTAGGAAACCTGTGAGACTTTTATTCTGTTATTCCTGCACTTTTTCTAACCTGTTAACTAAATAAGAGATATTTGGGAGAGGTTTAAGGCGGAGGTTGGAAGTAAATCAGTTTAATGCAGTTCTGTCATGAGTCTGCAGCCCCTCCCTCAGACAGCAACAACAACAACATGCTCTTCATACACTTCTACTATTATATTACTACTTTGATTTTGCTTTCTGTTGTGTGATAAACAATTGTGTTTCTCTGGAAGGATAACTAAGAATCCTGGGCCACTATTAATTTAGAAAAATGCAAACAAACATAGAATTAGCATTTGTGTGTTAATTTTTTTTTGTAAGGTACTTGTACAATTTTGCCTCTTTAGCCTGTGTATTTGTAAACATGTAAAAGGACCTTTATTTTGTATTGTCTTAATGATGTTGTATATGTGAAACTGAAGTTAGATGGTGAGCATATGCTGTACAGCGTAACTACAACACATTCAACATCATCAGGATTAATGTTGTCTGTGTATCTGTCAAAAAAGCGAGAACCGAAGACCAGCTTTCTATCCAGGAATGTGCTCCTGTATTGACATGCAGATGCTTGTTCCCATGTTGGCTGTTTCTGGTGTTTTTCTCTCTGAAGGTGGAGGAGGCTGAGCAGGTGTACCTGCTGATGAAAGAGGAGTACAGGATTTCACGCAACGTGCGTCTGTCCTGGTTCCTCAACCGGCTCAATCAGGCCGTTCGGCCCAGTCCTCTGTCTGAGCTGGTGAGAGAGACCGGGTTTGGTGAGAGAGAGCAGTGGTCTCAAACTCAATTCCTGGAGGGCCACAGCTCTGCAGAGTTTAGCACCAACCAGCTCCAAATCACACCTGCGTGGAAGTTTCTAGTGATTCCGAAGATACTGATTCACTGGATCAGGTGTGTTTGATTAGGGTTGGAGCTAAACTGTGCAGAGCTGTGGCTCAGGAGTTGAGTTTGAGACCAATGATCTCGAGAAAAGGGTGATTCGGAGGTGATTTCATTCTGATAAACTATTGTCCAAAAGTCTGGGGCTGGCAGGTTTTTGACTGAAGCCTCTTCTACTCATCAAGGCTGCATTTATTTGATCAAAAATACAGTTATATTGTGAAATATTTTGACAGTTTAAAATAACTGAATATCTGTTAAAATGTAATGTATTTCTGTGACGCGCAGCTGTATTTTCAGCATCATTCCTCCAGTCTTCAGTGTCACATGATCTTCAGAAATCAGTATAATATGCTGATTTGCTGCTTAAGAAATCGTGATTTTTTTTCTTTTTTAGAAAGTCCAAAAGTTACACTGCAAAAAATTGTCTTGTTTCCAGCCAAAATATAAAAAAATTCTTAAATCAAGAAGGATTTTCTAGAAAAGTAAAAATGGTCTTGTTTTCAGAAAAAACAAGTCAAAATTAAGTGAGTTTTTGTTTGAACAAGATTATTTTTCTTACCCCATTGGCAGATTATTTTGCTTGTTTCAAGCAAAAACTCACTTAATTTTGCCTTGTTTTTTCTGAAAACAAGACAATAATTTTTACTTGTCTAGACAATCCTTCTTGATTAAAGAATTGTTTGATATTTTGGCTGGAAACCAGACAAAAGATCTAAGCTAGAAAAGCATTTTTTGCAGTGCCTTTTCCATCACTTTTGATCAATTTAATGCATCCTTGCTGAATAAAAGTTTTAGTTTCTTTTAAAAAAAGTATTACTGACCCCAGAGCTTTAAATGGCAATGCACATTTATTTTAATTAATACAGTCAAATGATTAATTGTGATTAATCGCACCCAAAATAAAAGTTTTTGTTTACACAATGTACTGTGTATATTTACTATGTATATATAAATACAAACACATGCATGTATATATATATTTAAGAAAAATGTTATATTTCTATATTAAATATATTTATATATAATATCCGTTAAATAAATATATACATTTTTACATTTTTAAATATATACTGTATGAGTGTGTATTGTGTATATTTACTATGTATATATAAATACAAACACATGCATGTATATATATATTTAAGAAAAATGTTATATTTCTATATTAATTATTTTACACAATATTTACTCAAAATGGACCAAAATTCCATCCTGTTAATTGTCCAAGCAGACATGATTACCAGCTAATGTAATAATCCTTAAATGCTCAATTAACCGTCCTGCTTTAATATATTCTTTCTTTGTTTAATTATCCTTAAATGCATGTCTCAGGCCTTCTTTCTTTACCTTGAAGGCCTGTACTGGAACAACAGCAGTTTTGTTGTTCAGTTTTTGTGCTGAATCGCATCAGTTCAGATCTTCATGGACACTGTATCCCATCTCTGTGTCTGTGTGTGTGTGTCCGTCAGCTGAAGTCAGAGAACGAGCTGGATGTTTTGAGCGTCCTCCCGAAAGGAGGCCCCCCCGACTCTCCTTCCTCGTCTTGCCCGTGTCTGCTGGTTCCCTCCACACACGTCACCTTCCTGGCGCGCAGGTACCGCTTCATCATCGAGCTGGACCTGAGCCCGTCCACCGGGATCGTGGTACGAAACCGTCATCGTCATCACATTCAGTGACTTGTTTTGGTAACCCTTTATTTCAAGGTGTCACACATGTTACATGTAATTACTATTATAATGGCAATTAATTATGCATAATTACATGCAAGTAACCCTAAGCCAAACCATATGGTAAGTACATGTAGTTAATAAATATTACTCTATTATAACATCAATAGTGATATTACTTACTAAATAGTACTTCAGCGTATAATTACACTGTAACAAGGACACCTTAAAATAAAGTGTAGCCCTTGTTTGAAGAGTGCAAAGTCATATGCTGTCTGTTTTCAGGATGACAGCACAGGAGAGATGATCTTTGATGAAGTCTTCCACGCTCTGTCTCGGTGCTTGATTGGTCTGGCAAAACCCTTTAAAGTCCCAGGAACTGATCACGTGTTCCAGCCAGAGATCTTCATCACTATTCTGGCGTATTCCTCCATCATTGGCCTTAGTTCTCACCAGGTCTAGATCTCAGGTCTTTGTGAATCTATGACTGTGCATTAGCTGGCTGTATTTTTTCTCTGATCAGTGATATATCCCATGACTCTGCCTGTCAGGTGTTGGTTCAGGGCTGTCAGCTGGACTGTATGGATTTGGAGCAGTTCTTGCATCAGATCTATCAGCAGCTGAGAGCCGTGGAGAGCAGCATCGCTGACGTCCTACAGCAGCAGCACAATCAGGCAAGAGCAGCTCGCTTGTGGTTTTAATACTGACAATAAACCAATATGCAGAAAGAAGCCATATTGCATTGCAGTACAGCAATTTTACTAAATTTAAAGGGATAGTTCACTTAATTATAAAAATTCTGGCATCATTTAATCACACTCCACTTGTTCCAAACCTGTATGAGTTTCTTCTGTTGAGCACAAAAGAGGCTGTTTTGAAGAATAAAAGAAATTCGTAAAGGTCTGGAACAACTTGATGGTGAGTAAATGATGACAGCATTTTATCATGGGTCAGAAAATGAGCTTCTTAACCATGATAAAATCACTTTAATGCACAGCCACTAGAGGATTATTGCTTTTATCAAATGGGAGCTACAACAATATGATAAAGACACCAATGTTTAGTGATATACTGCAATAATTCAGCACAACCTGCCATAGGTTGTTGCTTAAATAATGTTAATAATGTATTTTGTTTAATAATTTTATTCTGTCTTGTCATATACTGCTGTTCAAATTTTTTATTTTTTAAGAAATCCGTTTTATTCAGCAAGAATTTATTAAATGGACAGTAAAAACGTCTATGATGTTATAATAAAATATTTCTATTGAATTGTGTAAAATATTTCTATTGCAAATAAATGCTGTTCTTTTCTGTTCATCAAAGAATCCTGAAACATAAAACGTGTCACGGTTTCCACAAAAATATGAAGCAGCACATCTGTTTTCAACACTGATAACAATCAGAAATGTTTATTGAGCAGCGAATCAGCATATTAGAATGATTTCTGAAGATCATGTGACACTGAAGACTGGAGGAATGATTATGATATGCTGAAAAAAAAAAAATTTGTTTGTATGTTTGTTTGTTCTTCAGTTCAGTGGATCTGTCTATCAGTCCTTCTCTAATGATGCAGTGGAGGACCTGTCTCAGAGGAAGCTGGGGGTTTCCATGGTGACGGCTGATGTCGGGCTGGTCAGTATGGTGAGGCAGGGGATTCTCGCTCTGCAACTCCTGCCTCCAAACTCTGGTGCTGGTAAGTGCATCCTTTGTCCCACCGTGCTTTTAAAGAAGAGCTAGTTACTACATTAACATAGTTTAGTGTTAGTGGCTTTAACCTATGGCTAAATGGCACGCAAGACCAAAACAAACTGTGGTTGGTCAGTCATGTGGTCTCTTCCTGTCTAAGTTGGCATTATAATAAGTGTAGAAATGGTTGTAAATAAAGTGCTTGTGCAGTTAGTAGTCTTTTGTGTTGGTTTGCAGGAATAATAATCATCACAGATGGAGTGACGAGTGTTCCTGATGTAGCTGTGTGTGAAACACTACTGAACCAGCTGAGAAGTGGAACCATTGCCTGTTCGTTTGTCCAGGTGCTGCTCAGATCCATTTGACATTTCACTCTACCTGCCACAAATATTAGAAATAATGCTATTTACAAAAGCTTAAGGTCGGTAAGATTTTTTTAGTGTTTTTGAAAGAAGTCTCTTCTGCTCACAAAGGCTGCATTTATTTGATAACAATACAGTAAAATCAGTATTATTGTGAAATATTATTAGAATTTGAAATAGCTGTTTTCAATTTGATTATATTTAAAAATGTAATTTATTCCGGTTATGCAAAGCTGAATTTTCAGCATCATTCCTCCAGTCTTCAGTGTCACGTGATCCTTCAGAAATCATTCTAATATGCCGATTTGCTGCTCAATAAACATTTCTGATTATTATCGATGTGCTGCTTCATGATTTTTGTGGAAACTGTGATGCATTTTATTTTTCAGGATTATTAGATGAATAAAAGTTTCAGAAGAACAGCATTTATTTAAAATGGAAATCTTTTGTAACATTATAAATCAGTTTAATGAATCCTTATTTCTTTCAAAAGAAATCTTACTGATCTCAAGCTTTTGAATTGTAGTGTAAATGCAGTATGTTTGTAACAGGTCCGAAATGTTGTCTGTTATAAAGCATAGCATTTATTTGTAATTTGATGTGTTTCCCTCAGGTGGGCGGCGCTTACTCCTACGACTGTAGTTTTGGCTACATCCCCAACGTGGAGCTGATGAAGTTCATCTCCATGGCAACCTTTGGCTCCTACCTGTCCATGTGTCCAGAGCCTGACTCTAGAGGCGATGAGATGAACGCTTACCATCGCGCTTTCCTCACGTACTCCTTCCTGAGGACCGGCGAGTCCATGAACCCAGAGTACTACTGCTGTAAGCTCAACACTGACACACCTAAACAGTGTCTGAAGATCAAATCTGTATGCTGTAGCTGCTGTTTTGGTCATTTCTAGTGTCTGTAGGAAGTCGGCTCTCCTCAGGTTCACACAGTTTGTCCTAGCAGAGGAACCACAGGTGTAGAGAACCATCAACATCATTCTCTAACCACAAACAAACACAATAATGACTCTCATTTTCAACACTAGGCTGATTGTTTTAGCATTTCAAACTGTCCATGGTTTTCCTTGTGAAATGTGCCTGCAGTATCTTTGAAATAATAGCCACTTGATTTCATTTTTTTTTAATTTTTTTTTAAGTAATACAATAACATTCAGACATTAAGTGACCAGTGTTTTAGGTTTGTTTTTACTATTGTAGTACTTATTAATACTTTAAATTGGCTTCTATTTTATTTTCAGTATTCAGTAGTTTTAATATCATTTCTGTATAGCTTTAATTTTTTTTTCACTTTTAGTTTTAGTAATTCAAATTAATCTTTTTTTGTTTTTTTTTCAGTTAACTGCCAAGGCGACGTTTCTAATTTTCTTTAAAGTTTTTTTTATTAAATGTAATATTCATATTTTATTTTAGCTATTTTTCAGTTACTAAAATAATTATTAACAGTTTTAGTTAACAGTAACAGCACTGAGTGTGACAAAAGTGTCCAAATACATTACTTGAGATGTAGATATCAGGGATTACACAGTTTCTGTTTTTTTTATGAGATCTGAGAAACACAGAGAAGGATGGGACGTATTCAGAGATGTTTGAGTCCTTGAAAATGTCAAAGAGAGGATTGCTCTGTTCATGTAAAACACTCTGTTAATTCACCACACATACAAAGAAATCAATCCCAGAGCTCTCAGCGCTCAGTATATCAGCCCTGTCTGTGCACTTTCAGTTCTGCCTCGCAGTCAAGTTTAGTTCATATGGCATTAAAGGCAATTTCATAAAAGCTCATGAGGTTGGTCAAAAGTTAGTTCATATGTCATATGATCCTCATTTGAAGTTGCTAAATCATTTGTGAAATGAAGCATCTGACTGCAGGGAACCACAACTGATTTAAATTTTACTTTTAAAACATCTACATACAGCTAGGATTTGATTGGTTGGTATGCAACGTGACCATATATAGTAAAAGTTCTTGCTGATTTTATATTACTAGCATATTGGCTGTTTATTAGTATTTATAAAGCACATATTAATGCCTTATTTTGCATGATCATATTTTAGATCCCTTAATCCTACACCGTATCTAAATTTAACAACCTAAGCGGGTTTACTAATAATTAATTAGCAGCAAATTAGGAGTTTATTGAGGCAAAAGTGGTAGTTAATAGTTCTTTTATAGTGAGAATTGGTTCTTAAAATAAAGTGCGACCGTATACATATTTATTATTATTAGTTTTACATAATGCGATGTAAACGGCACTGTAATGGCTCATCTGTGTGTTTGTAGTCTCCCAGCACAGGCTCTTTAATGAACACCTGGTGTCGGCCAGTGGAAACCCCGCCTTAGTGATGCGCAGGAAGAAACACACGGAGAAGGAAGTGCACGCTGACTTGATCAGTGTCCTGTCCATCAGACTGCGAGAGGGATACACCATCCGAGAGATCAACATCACTAAAGGTACTTCAACCTCATAAGGTCAGGTGTTCAAATATGCTTCTGTAATGATCATATATAAATGACACCAGCTTTGCGTTTAATGCAGCTTATTGGGATTTTAAAATAATCATCTAATCTGTCTGTATAAGGAGGAAGTCAGCTGGAGGTGAAGCTGGTCCTTCTCTGGAAGCATAACATGCGTGTCGAGTACCTTGCCGTGGCATCCTGGCCCCTGAATCCAGTCAAACGCACCACCTGGGTGGAGGTGACCATAGAGGGCAGCTACGACATCCTCCATGACATCAGCTGCACCATGCGGAAACCAATCACAAGCCCCTACCGGACGTCTGTCATCCGCCGCTTCTGGAACACACTGCAGAGGTCTTATCTTGAATGATTTTCGATACTCTGCTGTCGGTTTTAGTTTGATGATGTAGAGTAATGCTGTATATTGCTTCTCCTCAACAGCATAAATCAGACAGACCAGATGTTGGTGCACCTGCAGTCCTTTAATTCCATCCCAGAACACTACACCATCCCCGAAAGCACGAAAAATGGGGTTCCTCTGTTTTACATCCCACCTGGATCCACAACACCGGTGAGTGTTAGCGCAAAACTACAAAGTCCAAAAGTTTGGGGCCAGCAGGATTTGTTTTCACCAAGGATGCGTTCAATTGATCAAAAGTGACAGCAAAGACATTTATAATGTTACAAAAGATTTCTGTTTCAAATAAACATTCTATTCATCAAAGAATCCTGAAAAATAAAAATAAGTTTCCACAACTTATATAAAGCAGCACAACTGTTTTCAACATTGATAATAATCAGAAATGTTTATTGAGCAGCAAATCAGCATATTATACTGATTTCTGAAGATCATGTGACACTGAAGACTGGAGTAATGATGCTAAAAATACAGCTTTGATCACAGGAATAAATTATATTTCACAACATATTCACATAGAAAACAGCCATTTGGAATTATAATAATATTTCACAATTTTACTGTTTTTACGGTATTTTTGATCAAATAAATGCAGCCCTCATGAGCAGAAGAGACGTCTTTCAAAAACATTGAAAAATCATACTGAACCCAAACGGTGGGGAAAAAGGCGTCTCTTAAATTACATAAACAGTAGTGTAGTACATTAAGCTTCATATTTTTGTCGTGTTTTGGTGATATTAACATGCTAAACACAATCCTGTTCTCCATCAGGTCCTCTCTCTCCAGCACAGTGGCTCTAAAGACTCCAGCCAATCACAGTTTGCCTCCTACTGGAAGCCCATCCTGTCCATGGACGCCAACTTCTGGCAGCGCTGGCTGCACATGCATCGCATCGCTATCATTCTGGAGCATGACGTGTGAGTGAACACAGCCTGGATTGTTCAGTGGTTAATATAGCGTAGTCCTGCTAGTGCTAGTAAAAAATTAAATTTGAGTTGGCATGAAAATGTCAGTGTTCTTTAACTCCCAATGGCTGTAAACTGTTTTCCTGACTCTGTTTTGCTGTGTGTCTCTCTGTTCAGCCCGGTCCCAAAGCACGTGCACAACGCTGGCAGTAACGGTCGCTTCAGTACCATCCAGTGTCGCATCTCTCACTCGGCGCTCACCTCGCTGCTCAGGGACTGGAGCAGTTTCGTCCTGGTGGAGGGATACTCATACGTCAAACTTATCTACAGGTGCGTGTGTAGTTCAGTTGCCAAATTACAGAGCAATTTAGCAGTGTTTTAACAAGCATTATTTAGACATTTCACCCACATTTAGACATTTTTAGGTGACCAGTGTTATTTTAGTAGCCTTCAACTGTTATATTATGTATTTATATTTTGAATGAGCTTTTATTTAAATTTTTTAAATGTTTTACATTTTCATTATATTTGTTTTGTTATTTGCTATATAGAAATATTTCTATATAGCTTTAATAGATTTTTATTTCAGCTTTAGTTTGAGTGATTTTTATACTTCAACTTTAACATATTTATTTCAGTAAGTTGCCAAGACAACATTTCTAATTTTTAAGTTTTCATCTAATATTTATATTCACATTATTCCCACACTAGATTCAGATATATTTCCCACATTCAGACATTTTAGTTGACCTGTGTTATTTTATTTTATAATTTTTTTTAAACTAATATATTATTTATTGATATTTTGAATTAACTCTTATTTTTACATTTCACTATGATTTTTGTATTTTCTGTCATTTTTAAGGTATTTCTATATAGCTTTAATAATTTTTTTATTTTGGCTTTAGTTTTAGTCATTTTTATACTTCAACTTTTATACTTCAACATTTATTTCAGTTAGTTGCCAAGGCAACATTTCTAATTTCATAATTTTTTTCATCAAATATTATGTTTTATTTTATTTATTTATTTTTTTCGATGTATGTGACAGCGTTTCATCCCAGAGTTATTACAGTAAACTAAAACTAAAGCCAAAACTAAAACAAAAAAAGATAAAAATTTCCAGTACTTGAAATAAAATAAATATTAACTGAAACAAAATATAATATAAAAACCTTTTTATTTCAGCTAGTTGCCAAGGTGACATTTCTCGTTTTTAATTTAGTTTACCATGATGCATTAAAATATATATTTTAAAAAATCTACTAAAAATGACAAAAACACACAATACATTTACTAAAATTTCTATTAAAATTAGATAAAATTGTGAATAAAAACCTATTCAAAATATTAATAAAAATTTCAAAAATTACTAAAACTTTACTTAAAATGAAAATGGAAAATATACAAATAAAAACTGATTCAAAATATGATACTAAAATAACACCGTTTCATCCACAGTTTATTTGGCACATTTATGGAGCAGTTTAGCAGTGTTTTAACGAGCATTATTCCCACAGTGCCTCTGAGTTGCCGCCTGTCTCCTTCTATCTGGTGCGTCTGATCTCTAAAGCTCCCTGCATGGTGCTGCGATTGGGCTTCCCGATAGGAACTCTGGCACACTCCAGGAACAAGGTGAAGGTGTTTTCCACACTAGAATTCAGTTCATTTGAAAGCTGTTTTCAGAATGGCTCTGTAAGGAATAGAATGAGTGTTTCTGACTCTCACTCTGTAGATTGTGGATGAACTTCAAGAGCAGATCCTACGGCTGCGGTTCCCTCATCGAGTCCAGAATAAGGAGGCCACGCCAAAAACTAAACGGAAGATTCTGGGTAACGCGTCGCCCTCCAAATCCCCGCCTCTTCCTGCAGCCAAACCGGCGCTGTCTGACCGGCCGTGTGTGGTGGTGCTCAACAAACCCCTCGAAAAACTACTGATCAGGTCTGTGGCGTAACAATAAACAATAATAGATCTCATTTCTGTTATCTCAATTTAACTTTGTGAAGTTATGACAGACCTACAGTCAACATGAAGTCAAAATTGACCTTGTTTTCTGTCTAAACGCCTTATTGTTAATGATTCATTGGTGCATGTTAGTCTCTGAAATTGCTTTCCTTTTTGGCTGACACTGAGCCCTTTTATTTTCATATTTTACATTTTTAGATTTAAACTCTGTAGGGACACTTTTATGATAAATTCCTGATGGATAAACTGGATTAAAATGCAAAGATAGTTTTTTCTTGTTTTAATATGTTTTACTTTGAAATGTGTCAATTTACAAAATTACAGTGATTTGCAAACACTGTTTTAATGTAGACTTCGATAAGTGTTATTTAATTATTATTTTTGGACTAATTTAGTATTTATTAATATTTAGATTTTTTTTTATTTTTATATTTTCTGTTTTTAGTTAGTTTTTCATTTTTATTAGACTACTTCATTTTATTAGTTTTTTTAAATTTCATTTTTAATTGTAATTTTGTGATTTTTTTTTTTGTGCTATTTTTTTTGTTTTACTTTTTAAATATTTCTATTTTTAGCATTATTTTTGTTTTAGTTTTTAGTAATTTTAGAACTTCAGCTTCAGTGTGTTTTATTTCTGATAGCTGCCATGCCAACATTCTGAATTTTCATTTCTTTAAAGTTCTCATATTTTATTCCCAATTTTTATATAATTTTATATACATTTTTTGTATTCTTTTTTTTTTAAAGTTTTAGTTAAAAATAAAAACATTGACTCCGATTAGTTCCTCTGTAACTCAAAAGCTTTCAAAAAGGTTTTCAAAAGCTTATGATTTAGACAAAATCTTGTTCTGACATCCTGCTGCAGGTACGAGAAACTTCCGTCAGATTTCCGCACCCCTTTCATCTTAAACATGGAGCCGTTCGCTCAGCCGCCCATCATGGGCGCCCCTCTCAGCATGGCTGCCAGCAGAACGGCGTCCTCCACCATGGCGTCTCTGTCCCGCTACTTCCTGCACCAGCGCTGGGTTTGGGCTGTGCAGAACGGTCCGGGAACCGCTGTATCGCTGCACGCAGTCGCTCATATCCTCTCAATGCTCTGCGAGTGAGTCTCAAACATCCTTGACCTGTAAGAAGTCACTTCTGACAATAGCATTTGCTGATTTCCTAATGGCTGTTTTTTATTGCACAGTATTCGTCTGTCGGAAGGCTTCCACTTTGCCGCCAGCGGGGAGGGTATCGTCAACATGGTGGCAGAACTGCCAATGCAGGTGAAAGTATGAACACTCTACACAAGTATATCCCAGTTTTAGCATTTGTTGGTGATGCATCTCTAACTTTGAGCTACAACTGTGCATGCAGAGTCCGTCAGCTGATTTAAACGGAGAAAAACACACCTGCATAGTCCAGTACATCCTTTTCCCGCCTCATTCCACTTCTACTAAGGACAGGTAACGCTTCATCACACCTGTGCAAACCAGAACCGGAGTGTCTGTTCACTGCTAAAATCTTCGATGGCTTCAGCTGAAGGATTCCTGTGCTGTAATTATCTAGAACAGACCATTGTAAAGCTCCGTGCACACTTCTATAATCAATAGAACATTTACATTATATTTATAATATTTAAATAAGTTTTAGTATAATTGAATTAAATAATTTAAAAAGTTTTTTTTAAATAAACTGTTTTTATTGTTTTAATTAATTTCAAATTATTAACATTTGAAGATGTTATGAAATTGATTATATTTAGCGTAATAGCTCATTTTATTTGATAAATAAGTAAATAATTTTTATTTGACAAATAAGATTGGGAAAATCTGCCTTCATTAATTGTCCAGGATCTGAACACTTTTAAATTATTATTATTTTTTTATAAATAGCCTCAAAATAAAGCAATAAATACATACACACACACACACACACACACACACACACACATATATATATATATGCCATTTTTTGTGGCAGCATTGTCTTATAATGGGCGTTTGGTTTGACTCTATCTGTGTTTGGCGTGGTGTCTCCAGTTTCTCCACAGATGATGACAATGACACTGAGGTGGAGGCCATAGATGTGGACACAGAGCTGAGTTTGGTGACGGAGTGCTGGGTGGAGCCTCAGAGCGGAGCCGTCTGTAGCTCACTGGAGCAGCAGAGACACTTTCATCAGCTCACCTACCAGGAGATCCCTCAGGCTGTTAGTGACAGAATCATGACATGTGACATGTCACAGAAAATAAACAAAAATCTAAATATCATGGATAAATATAATAGATACCAAGTAATTATACCTGTTTTACAAAATCTGGGACTTGACTGTGGTTAGTAATGATATTAGCTTTACATGACTCATTGTAATTTTATTGTCATTGAAAAACTTATTTTGAATTTGTTTCTTATATTTACCATTTTAAGTTTAATTTGAGTATTGTTTAGGTTTTGTTAGTTTAGTACAATAAGTTAAAAAAAGAGAAATGTTGCCTAAAATAAAACTTAAATACAATTTTTTAATATATATATATATATAATTTCAGTTAGTGTTTATATTATTTCAAGTAATGAAAACGTTAAAAACTAATGTATAAATAAATAAATAATTTAACTTATTTAATTTCAGCTAGTTACCAAAGAAACATTATATATATATATATATATATATATATATATTATTTCAGTTAGTGTTTATATTATTTCAAGTAATGAAAACGTTAAAAACTAATGTATAAATAAATAAATAATTTAACTTATTTAATTTCAGCTAGTTACCAAAGAAACATTTCTCATTTTTGTTTGGTTTAAGTTGAAGTACTAAAAAAAACAAACGAAATAAACAAAAAACGAAACACTAAAACATAATAAAAGCATAATAGATATACAAATTAAAGTTACAATATCACACAACAAAATTACTAAAACTTTGCCTAAAATTAAAAAGAAAACGGAAAATATAAAAGTAATATTTAATTCAAAATACTAACAAAAACTTTTTATATATATTTCATAATACATTTCTTTTCTTTAGAATAATGCATTGGTGAATCCTTCCTAATAACACCAGGAAGATTTTGTAAGAACGTAAATAGGGACGGGTTTGATTGCATGGTGTATTTAGGCATTTTTACTGAGATCTGACAGTCAAAAGATTATGAATTGTGTGTTTTTCCGTTCCAGATCTTTCCCCGTGATCTGTCGTGCATGACAACGATGATCACTTTTGAATACCTCAGCCAGCTGTGTCAGAATAAAGAGCAGGTGTGTCCTCTCAGAGATGCTCCAGGTATGAACGCGCACCGTCACCCGTCTCCTTACACACAATCGTATGAGATCTGATGCTCAGTGTGATGTGTTGCTCCTGTAGGCGAGCTCCCCGCTGCTGCTGCTGATGACTGCATACACGCTGTGCCTTTCCAGTTCGACCTGATGAAACTCTTGCCCAAGTGCCAGCAGATCGAGCTCTTCTTCTACACCTTCAGCCGAGGTACGAGTACATCCTCCACCCACCCCAACTAGAGGTCTGCTACCCGACCCAAGCCCGACTGGTCCCGAAATACTTTCGGGTTTCGGGTTTCGGGTCGGGTTTATGTTTAATGAATAGCTTCTGGTTCGGGTCGGGTCCGGGTTTGTAGCTAAACTAAAACTATATGCAGTAGGCTACGCTGCTTTCATAGATGCATGCACACACACACATTATTGCACACAGATATCTGAGATTGCGCAGCGCACTCACAGCACGGAAACGTTTATTAGTGAAATAGCTTCGATAGGCTACTGACTCGCAACGTTATATTTCTCTGCAATGAGGGGGTAAAATTGCTGTTTTTGAAGTAACTAAGCCTCATTGCTTGTAGAGAGAGATGCGCAGACGCAGGTTCACTCTCTCTCTCTCTCTCTCGCTAATTCAAATAAATTATATAATTAATTAATTCAAATAAATGCAATCTTACCGCACTACATCTCTGTGTCTGATTTAAAGCAGGCCGGATGCTAACGAGCCTTAACTGACGAAAATGACCATAATTTGCACGGAGGAAGAATTATCGTCTTGTCGCAGAATTTATGTGACCGTTGCGCCTGATGTTCATAAACCTTCATAACTGGTAGGTGTTTTTTCTTTTTTCTTGTGAACTGGCCGAGCCTTGATGAATCGGTTTCTTTACATGTATTTGTTTACTGACCGTTGCATGCAATCGTGAAATACAGCATTTAAAATTTTTTTTTTTTTTTTTAAATTAGCTATTCGTTGTGGGGGGAAAAAAAATAAAAAATTTCAGATTTGGTTCGGGCTCTAAATTTAACTGTGCCGCTCGGGTCATGTCAGACGATCTCGGGTACGGGCCAGGTTCGGGCTTCAGTTTAAAGCCCCTATCCTTTCTTACATTCATATTCCTTTATCCAAATCAGTGAACACTGGGCCTTATTTAACTGTTTTGCTGTTGACCTTTAACAGAGGGTCAAGCGGACGCCTCCCGTAGCGCCTCCTGTCTGCCCAACGATCTCCTCCTCAGCCTCTTCCACGGCTCTCTGCAGAATGAGCTCAGTGATCGAGAGATCCCATTGACCGACGGCGATCATGCGGCGTTCATGCATCGCATCCTAGAGCGGGAAAGGGACGGTCATGTGGCTCCATTCTCACTTCCTGTCATTAAAGGTGATTTGGCTGGGGGGGTTTTTATGCTCAAATGTCTATAACATTCATACATCCAAAACACATACTCAATGCTTTTATTCATCAAGGTTGCATTAAACTGATCAAAAGTGACAGTAAAATAATTTATAATGTTACAAAAGATTTCTGTTTTAAATAAATGCTGTTCGTTTCAACTTTCTATTCATCAAAGAATCTTGTAAAATAAAATGAATCACGGTTTCCACAAAAATATTCAGCAGCACAACTGTTTTCAACATTGATAATAATCAGAAATGGTTCTCGAGCAGCAAATCAGCATATTAGAATGATTTCTGAAGATCATGTGACACTGAAGACTGCAGTAATGATGCTGAAAACTCTGCTTGTAGCACATTTTACAATATCTTCTGACAGGAAACAGTTATTTTAGATTGTAATAATGTAAAAATGTTCGAATTTTCGATCAAATAAATGCAGCCTTGGTGAGCAGAAGAGACTTTTTAAAGAACATAAATATCACACCGACCCTGAGCTTTTGAACGGTAGTCTATAATTTATATAATGGTTGTGGTAGTGGTTAACTTCCATGTTTTAGGAAGGATTGTGCTTTTAAACACTCAGAATGTCTTGCCCCATAGACTTCCATTATAAATGAATCACTTTTAACTAGTTGTTACTTTGTTTGTTTGAGTTTATATTAAACCCTGAACATTTTTTAGTCTGCAAGCACAGAACAGCCACTGTTGGTTTGTTGTTTTCATTTACGCTTGCTAAGGGTTTGATAAATTGAATGGCATTGCGCTCAGTGAAGGAGAAACAAGATGTTTAGACTAAGTAGATGATTTAAAACACACTAATTGAAAGACTTCACGCTAATGGATGCCAGACATCCCAAATGACCTTTAATTGTTTCATTAGCAATTACATAAGAAGAATCTGACCCCTAATCTTCCCTCATTTTGTTTATCTCTGTGTGTGTTTTCAGAAGAGAGCTTGAAGACTCCGGAGAGGCAGGACACTGTTCTTTCTTTCCACACAATAGGAAGCAGTAAAGAGGTGACAGGCTCCTCCAGCACACTACAGGTGATCATACTACAGCTCAGCTGAAAAAGCCCAGCTACACTCATAACCAGTCCACACACGTGTGTCAAACAGTCTTTGGCTAGAAAATCCAATGGCGTTACTTTCAAGTTGCCTGGTAACTTTATCAGGAGCATAATACATATGACATAAATGATATCTGACTGTTCAACTCACACATCTTTTAACCACAGTGGAAAATTTAACGTCAGTTTAATGCTGCCTGGGAATAGAACCTATGACCCTGCCGTTGCTAGCACCATGCCTTACTAGTTACAGCTGCGCATTTGTCCATCACTTATATGCAAGGGGAAAACACAAAAATTGCATTTTTTATATTTCCAGTATAAAGCAATAAAAAAATAAAAATAAAATCATGGCTTGTTAGAAATATTTATAAAAAATATATAAAAATAAATTAATACAAAACAATAATACAATAGTAATAAATGTATATTATATTTTTCTCTGATTGTTTTCCACTCACATTTTGGACCCTGCTCATAACTCACAATACTGACCTGCAAAAACCCCACAAGCCCTTTTTTTACAGCTTTAACAGTGTGACTCCTTTCACTTCAGCGTTAGAGTTAGTTATTACTTGTGTTATGTAAGTGAAACATGCAAACTGGTGTTCAAAAGTTGGTGGTCAGCAAGATTTTTTTTTCCAATGTTGAAAAGTTGTGCTGCTTCCATGATACATTTTTTTTTCAAGAGCAGCATTAATTTGAAATAGAAATCTTTTGTAACATTATAAATGCTTTACTGTCACTTTTGATCCATGTAATGTGTCTTTGCTGATTAAAAATATAAATTTCTTTCATAAAAAAAAATATCTTACTGACCCCAAACTTTCAAACGGCAGTGTACTTATCCTTCTGTTGTTGGCAGAGTTGTTACAGTGTGTGTGTGTGTGTGTGTGTGTGTTCCTGGCAGAGCTTCAGTAATGCAGATCTTGTAGACGACGAGCCAGCTGGCGCGGAGCAGGACTGCTTATCTCCTCACTGGAAATGTTACGCCAAATACATCAGCCATCAGCAGATCCTGCTCACTTTCCTGCCAGCTACATTTACAGGTGCATCGTCTGTCACTGCCACACCAATTAGAGCTCAATAGTCCTTTAGGTTTACACACAACATGAGACTAAAGTAGGCCTGGGCGATAAAACGGTATCGGTATATATCGACGGTACACCTTCATCGATAACGATAGAAAAAATGTTCGATATAGTGCACGATATAGGCATGTGCTATGCGTGACAAGCAAACAGCCAACAGAGCACAGGCTGAAATGAGTGCTGTGCCTGGCTGTGAATGAGGAGATTCTGAATAAAAATTAATATTAGTCTAATTTGAAATAAAAAATTTGCATTTAAATGCAAAAATGGTTCAATTGAATGTTAGGAGTGCATCAGGGAGCATCATCAGTGGCGCACGAGATGCGGTGATGATGATGTAAGTGTCAATGTTGTGTTTTCATGTTTTTGTTAGTCTATCCTGTTGAATCCATGAGCACACCACTGCTGCGCTATTCATTCAGAATATTAGAGAAATATTATAGTAGCTCAATGCGTAGAAGATCTTGGTTTAGGTTGTAACGAATCAGCTCATGACAGGAAATATGAATAATTAACCATAACTAGTTATGATTAATTATGAATATTTTAGATCCGCTGTAGATATTTAGCTGACCTCTCAGGGTCAACTGTCTTGTCAATTCTAAGAACGTTAATTTCCTGGTTAAGGGAAATAACTTTCTTACTGTACAATTCTACAAAAGCTTGTAGCGTAAATCTGCATGATTAGTGACTCCGGTTATGAGCAAACAATGAACACGTCAAGTGTGATACAAGTAAGGTTTTATTAACTACATAAACACTTAAACTAGTCCAACATACTACATAAACACATAAACTGGTCTAACATACACATACACACACACACACACACACACACA